GGGTTGTGAAAACACAAACCGTTGAACACATCGAACTGGGAGAGCCAGAAGCGCAACTCGTCAATTGACTCCCCGTTCAAGAGGACCGACTCTCCCCGAGATGAGCAATCTGAGATTTGTGAGAGTAGATTGTGTGAAGGCGCGTACGAGTGTGCCGAGGGCAAGCGCCATAGATGCAAGCATGCCAGTAATGCGAGCGATGCGTCGGACCGGGATGCGCCGCCCCCGTTCGCCAAGCGTGCAAGTCTGTTGGAGCTCGACAGTGCACGCTATTGGCGTCTTGGCCCCGCTGGGGGCAATCCGCAATCCCATGTCCAGGTTCGCGACATTAGAAGCAGCGCCCGTCACCGTCACGGTGCCACGTGTTCCAATTACGCTCTCCTTGGCCTCGACCACGAGGGGGAGGGTCGCTACGGGAGCTCGCATGGGTGGGGCAATTAGGTCTCTTTTTGTGAGCTGCCATGATTTGAGTGGCAGCCTTTACATTCTTATCTTCCACCACTTCGCCATATTCAATCTTTAAGGCCATATTGGCCACCTCAAAACCAAGTTGGTCGGCGGTGAAGAGAAAATTAATCAGTTCGTCCGCTTTGTCCACTATTTGCCGCTTGCTCGCCGCCGCTAGAAGGCAAAACAGAAATGGCGTGACGTGCAATGGCTTGAATACGCTAGAAACTAAACAGTTGCGTACGGATACCATCATTTTTCACTAAGGAGGAACGCAGCTGGGGGCGAGTAGGGGGGATGGGAGCAAGGCTGAAGGTGGTAGAGCCGGGTTTGGGACAAGCTGGAATACCTTCATCCGAGTTTTCGATGGGTGTGTTGTCGCCCGCGTCGTCGCCATCGGGTTCGTTGGCCGGAGGGGGGAGGCGAGAGCGTGGTGCTGCCGCTACTGCGGGACGAGCACGTTCTGGAGGCGGTGCGGGATCGCCATTATTTCCTCGCTAGAAAGCAGCGAGGAGGCCGATGACATGATGCATGGCTTCGTTGTTGGCGGCAGCAGGAACTTCATTGTTGGTATAACGAACAGAATAATTTTCTGCTGCGTGGGGCGCTATAGATGCAGTAGAGTGCGCTGTAACGCGTTCGCCAGCTGCTCCCGTGAAGATTCGCTGGAGGTTTTGCTGGGCTGCTAGGTCAAGACGCGCGAGAATCTCGGCAAAATCCGCTACTGCAGAAGGCGAGATTCGACAATCCTGAGAAACGCGCGGATTCGCCGGGCGAGGTGCAGGATCTGGGCGTCAAGATTCTCGCCTTGGGTCTTGCTCCTGGCGGTCCGCACAACGGTCAAGATCGCGATCGCCGGCCCCACGCGCAGGACCCTCATGATTACGGTCCACGCGCGCAGTGTCGCGATCATTACGATTGCCACGCGCAGAACAAGAGGGTGCCACGCATGTGGCATTTTCGGTTGGTGCTGGGGCTTCCTCAGGACTGGGCGCGACATTTCCGTCAGGTGCATTTGTCTCGCCTCCGCGTAACCCGTCCGCACATCGTTCGCCGTGAAATCCTGGAGGAAAATCCTGTCTGGAAGATTCTTCGCGATCGCCTCCTGCGGCTCTCGGGCTTCAATGAGGGGCTTGCCGCATACGTTTCAATAAATCCATAGCAGTAACGGCAGCAGAATTTCCGCCGCAGGGAGAGTGAGAACGCTCACGGCGTGAAGAGGAGTCCCGATCACCATCGCGTTGGGGAGAACCACCACAACCACCACTCCGTAAATTCATTCGAGAAGAGGGAGGCCTTCCGCTAACAGCGAAAACAGGTCCGCCTGTCATGCTATTAAAACGGACAGCAATAACGTCTTCTAACAAGGTGCTCCTATGCCCAGATCTGGGCAAAGGAAGGGTTTAGTGTGTGCTGGTGGTAAACTAGACAAGTGAAAGTTGCAAATGAGACTAGGTGGCAGGTCCCATGGACCTGCCGAAAGGTAAAGGAGAATGTCTCCTTTACAGCAAACCCCTCTTCAAGTCGAATCACAATCTGTCAATTTTTTTGTTACAAAAAAACAAATTCTCATTCTCATTCAACTCTTCGTCAATGATTCAGTAACTTCTTCGCCTATTTCACCTATAGTCTTTTCGCCAAAGTCTTCCGCCGCGTTTCATCCTCGACTAAGTCAACCACGCTAATTCTTTAGCGGACTTAGGCCAGCGGGCCTAACAACAACGTCAAACCTCGCAGTGCACGATGCAGCCGCATGCTTTTCAGCTGCAGAAGAGGGGAGGGAGGAGGGGAGAGGAGAAGCAAGAGGTAGAACACAAGGTGGTAGCCGTACAGACGGGTACTCTTGAGCTCATCAAAGGTACTCTCGGCCTCCCTCCTTGTTGCAAACAACTTGTACCCCCTACTTAAAATGCATGGCAGCCGCATGCTCATGAGTTGGTGGGGAGGGGAGAGGGGAAGGTGGTTGTGAAGTGGAGGGCAGTCAGGCAGCAGTTCTGAAGGGAAATCCCTGTGCCCGCAGACTTGTGTAAGAACCGCATGCTCATGAGAGTTGAGAAGAAAGGGGAGGAGGGGGGCCAAGTCAGTAAGAGTGGTTCTGAGAAGTGAAGAGCAAGACGGAAGGAGGCAGAGAAGGAAGGGAAAAGAATCGGAGAACAAGAATGCAGTTCCTAGCAACCTAAGAGGAAGGAGCAGGGTGGGGGCACAAAAACAACTGTTAAGGGGAAAGACCGTCATATTGTAAAGAATTGAAGCCCTCGAAGCTCTCACGACTCCTGCCACACCATTGCATGGAGGGGAGCACAGAGACTTCAATAGTGCTATACAGTAGAGAATATGTGAAGGCAATCACCTGCCAAGAATCACTCATAAATTTGTGCTACCCACTTCTCAAAGAAGTGTCATCGTACCTACCCAGCATTACTTGCATGCATCTGCCCACGAACAACTAATTTCGCCAGCCCACGTTTCTCACCTGCCCGAAAGGTGCGAAGAGCTGTTGAATGTCTCTCTTGGTGGCCTCAAATGGCTGGAGGGGAAGGCAAGGGAGAGGTGAGTGCAAGGAAGGATGGTCATGTCGTGGAGAGGGTGAGGGAGAAAGAGGGAGGCAAGGGAAGGAGATGGAGGTGAGAGAGGAAGAAAGATAGACCACTACATGTCTCCTTTGGTGGACTCAAATGGTTGGGGGAAAAGGCAATGGCGAAATAGGAGAAGGGAAGGTGAGAGAGAGGAAGATGGGAAAGGAAAGTGACTTTAGGAAACGCAAGGAAGGAGAAAACAAAAGAAAAAATATTCCCCAGACTCTCACCATCCGCCACCGCTATACAAAAACCCACACTAAAAACCTGTGGTGTCTCCCTTGCACCCTTTCCAGCTTGCCACCTTGATAGCTCTGAGAGACTAACCGACCATCCACTAGTGTCCCTCAACTTACCACATTCCGCAAAATCATTTTCGTAGAACTCTCCTTCCCCTTGCCCCCTGCTCCTGCTGCCTCCCCCTTCCCCTCGCCCGCCTTCGCCTCTGCCTTGCTCAGTTGCAGCAGCAACGCATGTCCATCCAACACAGTGCCCTGTGGATAGAATAGAATACAATTGGGGTAGGAAGGAGGAAGAGAGTAGAAGACAATTGTTTTTGAATGGTGGAGGGAAGGGGAGGGAAGGGGAGGGGAGGGAAGGTTGTGTGCAGTTGTTCTTGCCCCACATCCCCTCTCCCCAGTATATGTCGGATGTGCATGCATAAGGCATGTGGAGCGCACCACACAAACCCACACAAGCTTGCATGAGATGAGATGTGTGCTGGATGTGCGTGGAAAAATGCAGCAAGTATGAGATCAAACAAAAACCATGAAATATGTACCAACTATGTGAGGGTCAATGCATACGGATCTGATGACTACACCACACGACTCACCTGCAGGAGCTTGCATGCATGGTGTGCAGTGATCCACGACCTAAACAATCATGTACCGTGATGAAATATGTACCACATGTGCATGCATACGCATTCACTCATGCATAACGAAATGAGGACCACGCCACACGACTCACCTGCAGCGCGGTGTGCAGCGAGCACTGAGCCAAACTCCATGAATCCGAACCCCATGGATAGCTGCGTGCCGTTCCGCACCCGCTTCTTTATCTGCCGGGGGTTGACATGCAAGGTGGGCGAGGGAAGAGCAGCGTTACATGACTGTCGGGTCAAGGGGCCTTCTTAATCTGCCCCAGGGGCTGAGAAACAAGCAGAATTGGTACTTGGAACATGTGCATGCCAGTGAAACACGAAGGTCAAAGATGCGTATGCCAGTGTCTTGCCTCGTGTCTGTTTCCTTGGTTCATGAGCACAAAATTCCCCTTCTCCCCACCTCCTTCCCCCGCTCTCCACACCACTGCCTCAGTGCCAATTTGCGACTGTGACACTGCGAATTGCTGGGCCTTCTTTGAGAACCATACAGTGGATTCATGAATGAATCACGCCGAGCACAGTACCCCGCACAGCCTCGCTGCAAATCTTCCATGCATACAGTATAGTGGATCCACATCTCACCGTGATGCTACGAACCGCTGGGCCCTTCCCATCCGCTCCTGCTTGCTTGCTTCTGAGGAGCTTCTCCAAGTGCTCCTTAAGCTGCGCCTCTGTTGTGGAAAAGCTTAGGTTCTTCACAAACACACTGTGGCTCGTGGGCTGGCATGGTGGGTACAGAAGGGAAAGGGGAGGGTGGCAAGCGGGGAACAGGACGTCAGGCAAGATTAGGTTCTTCACAAACACACTATGGCTCGTGGGCTGGGAAGGTGGTGGCCAAGGGGGGGGCAGGCGTAAGGAGGGAGGACAAAAAGGCATTGGGAAAAGAAAGGAAGGGATGTGAAGCTTAGGTTCTTCACAAACACATTGTTGGCTCATAGGCTGACATTGTGGTGGCCAACGGGGTCGAGTGAGGGGAAACTACAAGTGCGGAGGGAGGGAGAGAGGAGACAGGAAGGCAATGGAAGAGGAAAGGGGGGGGATTGAAGCTCAGGTTCTTCGCCACTGTGTCTTGTAGGCTGGGATGCAGGGAGATGGGGGAAAAGGTACGCGGGGGGGAGGGGAGACGGGGAGCCAGGAAGGCATTAAAAGGGAAAAGGGCAGGTGGTGAAGCTCAGGTACTCAACACACAGCCCACGAACCACAGTGGTGGCCAAAGGGGAAGAGAGAGGGCACTGTTCAACTCAGTTCAGCCCCCACCACCCACCACGCTCCACCCATATCCAGCCCACCACCATTGTTTGATCCCTCAGATTCTTTCTCTCAAAGACTCACCAGCCCGTTCCCCCCCACCTCCTAGGCTCACCTGCCCATCCTCCTCCCCCTCCACCGCATGTGCCTCACCCTCCTGTCCTCCCCCCTCTCACCCCTCCACTCCCCCCACCAACTCCGCCTCAGCAACCATGCGCATGGCTGCCTTCCCATCCACCACCAGCCTCAGCAACCCACTGCTCCCTGCTTCCTCACAGACAGCTCTTAACACCTTCCCACCCTTTTCCCTTCCCTCTGTTCATCCCCTCAGCTATCCCCTTCCTGGACTCACCTGTCCGTCCTCCTCCCCTTCTACTGCATGCCCTTCCGCCCCCTCTCCTCCCCCATCTCTCCCCCCCACTCCCCCCACCATCTCCGCCTCAGCAGCCATGCGCTTCGCCGCCTTCCCATCCACCACCACAGGTAAAAGCCCCACCGCTCCCTGCTTCTTTATACTCTTCACTCCACCTCCCTCCTTCCCTTCCCTTGCTCCTCCCTCTCCTGCCCCCCTGCCCGCCTCCCTAGATGCTGCTGCTGCTACAGCTGCTGTTATGTTTGCCTGAGCTGGTGCGTCTGACGGTGCTACGAGTTCTAGGAAGATTCCTTCTGGTGCCCATTCGAGGTAGAGTGGCACGTGCCTAGTTGGTAGACCAAAAAAAAAAAAAAAAGGTCAAGGAGGTTGAAGGGTGTTGAGAACGGTGCAAAGGGTGAAGGAGACTGGAGGTTGGAGTTAAAGATAATCCATAAATCAAAATAAGGAATGCACGGAAGCATCAGGCTAGGATGGGCTAAGGTTTTGCAAGCCGCGCTAACATTAACCACATTGCGTTAGTTGGCGTTTTCGCCAACGCTTATTAGACGCACTAGGTTAGGCTGGACAAGCTGAGCAAATCACTAGGTTAAGTTGCTAAAAGCACTCATTTGAATCACTTATAGAACATAAAATAATCGTACCCTATACGAGCAACTCACTGGTATCTTTTATAAGCAAGGCCTTTAAAGGCCCTCTTGGCATCAGCAGAATCAGCCATCTCCACCTGACCACGGGAACGATGGGGGGGGAAAGGGGGGTTGGGGGGGAGAGGAGGTATTGGGGGATGGGTGAAGGGAAGGAAACGTGGCCTTTGAAGGCCCTCTTGGCATCAGCAAAATCAGCCATCTATACCTGGCCATAGGAGTGAGGGACGGACAAGCTTGGTGCACACCGAGCATGCAAGCTGCTGCACGTGAGTTGTGCGTCGTGGTCTCATGTACTAATGCATCCTTCCACGCACATCCAGCACACATCCCATGCATGGTTGTTTGGATTCGTGGGTGTGTTACAGTTCACATGCCATTTCGCATGCATGCATGCATGAGCATCCGTCACATACCGGGGAAGGGGAATGGGGGGCAAGAACAACCGCAGGAAACCTGCTACCTATCCCTGCACCATTCTGAACACGTGCCTTCTAATCTTTTCCCCCCTCTTACCCCAACTTCCTTCAACTCTTTCCAGGGCACGGTATTGGATGGGCACGCGTTGCTGCTGCAGCTGAGCAAAGGGGAGGCAAAGGGGGGCGAGGGTAAAGGGGAGGCAGCAGGGGCAAGGCGCAAGGGGAAGGAGAGCTCAACCAAAGTGATCGTGTGGAATGTGGTGAGTTAAGGGGAAGGGGAGGGTGGTGGGGAGGGAGCGGGGTGTGAAAAAGCGGGGCGCAAGGGGAAGGAGAGCTCAACCAAAGTGATCGTGCGGAATGTTGTGAGTTGAGGTGACACTAAGGAGTGGGCAGAATACGCTGGCTGTTTCTTCTGCGCTTCCGAAGGGGCAGAGGGGGTGAGGGTGCAAAGGAGACACTACAATGCTTCTACTGGAAACAAGAATTGAGGGAATGGACAAATTCAGAAGGGTTAAAAAGAGGAGAGCTAATAAAGTTTATGGTTTGAAATATGGTGAGTTGGGGGGTTTGGAGTGCTATGCAACGGGGTCAAAGAGGCAAGAAAATAACGAGTGTGCGCTTTCCATCCCTTACCCATTACCGAATTGCCTGCTTTTGTTTCTTCATTCGTTTTTCTCCGTTGCCACTTTCCCAACCATTCAAGGCCACAAAGCGGGACACTCAGCAGCACCACATTTCTCCATCTCTTTCACTTCCATCTTACTCTCCCCCCGCCCATCTATCCCTGCTCTCAATCTCCCTTTCTCCTCCAGACATTTGAGGCTACTAAGAGGGACATACAACAGTTGTTTGCACCTTTTGGACAGATGAGCTTTGTGGGCTGGTGAAATCATTACTATGCAAGTAATAAACATAATAGCAACAGGTGAAGTATCCTGGCAGTTGTTTACTCGCATATGTAACTTTCTCACATGATTACTCTCACATCAAACTTGGGTCTTTCGAAGAGAAAAGGCCCCGCCCTCGCTTGGGCAAAGTCGACCATGCATTTCGGAACAAGACGGTGTTCATTTCGTAGTCATCGGCGACTTCGGGGACTTTTATCTTGTCAGAATCCCAACCACTAGACCATTGGGATAAAAGGGCTTGTTTCAGTAGCGGGTGAGTGCGCCTATAACCCCCCAGGCGAACGCGCCTGTAACCCTCTCCAGGATCAATCGGGCATCCACAGTGCAGATCTACTGACACCCCCCCACACTGGGAGGCCCAGGACTAAGCACAGCGGCAACGGCCTACATGTGCATACACCGGGAATCGAACCCGAGACCGCTCTGATACCATGTCAGAATCCCAACCACTAGACCATTGGGATTAAAGGGCTTGTTTCAGTAGCGGGTCAGTGCGCCCATAACCCCCCAGGCAAACGCGCCTGTAACCCCCCCCCTAGGATCGATCGGGGATCTCACAGTGTAGCTCTACTGACATATCTGTGTCCGACGAGTCGTTTATCGACGAGATTAATTGGTCGAGGTAGAAGTGTTTCCTCTGCTCGATCAAAGTCATCCTCTAGTAGGAGCTCGTCGACGCGAGTAAAACGGCGTCAAAGACGAGCCTTTTTGATAGACGGAATCGGCACAATTGGTGTTTCGACGGATTGCTGGTCGACATAATTTAGTTCGACGAGTGTTTCGTCGAGCAGATCGATTCTGGTCGACCAGAATTACTTAGCTCCAAAATTTGCAATGTGCGCGAATTTCGCCCAATCACGGAACAACAAATTTCGACCAATCAGGTAATTTCGGAAATTGTACTCCCCATGAGAATTCGATTCAGTAAGGAAACTGAACCCGAAACACGTTTTTACTAACAGTAAAAACGTGCACAACTATGAACGTTGTAAACCTGAGCAACTACCAACTCATGTGAAATATGCATTTGTTTGTCGTTTCACCTGCCGTTGCTGACTCGACAGATTCAAGTGCTTGTCGAGGAACGTTTCTACAGGGTTCGTTGTCTTGGCTATTTGGTTCTCTTTGCTTGTACCATAATCTTGTCCAATGAACTTTTGCTAGTGGAACTATGCTTGAGTTCTACCAAGGCAACTTAGTCTACTTCTGAGAATCACTGCCATAACTCTGACCGTGTGTCCCACGCTAGTCAAGCTCTCTCGTAGAATAGTATTCTCCGCATGGTGAGGTGAGCGTGGACGGCCCCGCGTTAGAAATTTCAGATAGCCGACTTCTGCGTTCATTACCTAGGAGCGTGTTCCTACGGGCCCCTATCAGGCCAGCCCCTTGTCAGACTCGCCTCGAACACCAGAATTTCGGAAAAAACGCATTGTGTATTAGACGGTTTGATCGTTTGTGAAGTGCGCGATAAAATGCGTTGGGTGACGTGGCACTGCGCAACGGTCCCGAAAGGTTGCAAAAGAACAAGTTTCCGAGTTCAGACAAATTTCAGGCGATTGAAACGTGTGTTTGGCGGAAAATTATCTGTATGCTTCATACCCGACAAAACAGCATGTTTGAATAATTTCGCACGATTCCCTGACCGTGGCTCGCTGAAACAGCACGTGTGAAAGATTTTGCGCGATTGCCTGACAAGGGTCACTGCACAGCATGTGTCAAAGATTTTGCGCGACCAATTCATCGAAAAGCATTGTAATTCTTCAAGTCTGGAAGACGGTGTTAATAACGAAATCGCTCACATGCACCAGCCTGACAAGGGGTTAGCCTGATAGGGGTCCGTAGGAATACGCTCTAAGTTGTTGCTAGGCCGGCAGCCATCTTAGTCACCATGGTCGACCCCGTCGTTGAAACGGGCGTATAAGATACCCTGGAGGCGAGAGAGGCTGATGTTCGGGCACGCCACAAGGCTGGCGGGTACGGCGAGGCGGACTTGGAGATTCTGCTCCTTGGAACTCGTGCGCAGTGGGCGCATGAGCATCCCCCTCCCCGTGCAGAAGCGGACGACGCGTCCGCCTCTCCCCTGCCCGTGCACAACAAAGGTGATGGCGGCAATGTCGTCGGCGGTGGAAGCATGAGGGTTCGCGGAGTGATTCGGCCCGCCTACGTCAGCATTGGTGGAGTGCAGACGCAAGTGATGCGATCGTCTGCAACTGGAGGCAGCTCGAACGGCAACATCGATGGTCGATGTTTATTTCCTCTGCGGAGTGGAGTCAGGCGGACTTCGGTGACTCATGCGTTGGCTGGTCGAGACGGAGGCATCGCGCCGACATACGGATATTTTAAATTCTCGCCGGACAAGATCGCTGTGCCGAAGCCGCTCGAAGGTCGTCATGACTTGATCACGTGGATTGAATCCATTGAGCCGCAACTGGAGATCACCAGATTAAAGAAGTTCGTCGACGACAATGTTGCGACGCCGGACGCAGACGACTTTGAACTCTGGACGGAATTTCGCGCTGCTTATCTACTGACCTTCATGATTATTCCGAGGTGTTATTCGCCTCTGGTGCAGGTCACATTGAAGTCGTGCAGACAACGGGTGGATGCTGGCTACCAAGCGTGGCAGTACATCATGCGCACCTACAAAGCGACCGATGACCTCTACATAAGTCAAGTGGGGAAGAAGTTGACCAACATTCGGATGGGTGAGCAGGAATCGGCGACCGAGTACTGCGATCGAGCGCGGCGAGTTTTGGCCGATCTGCAGATGGCCGGCGTCGACTACTCGGTGACGTCGTATGTCACTCATGTCATCAGTGGCCTCCCCTCGGGCTACAATCTGATGTGCCGGATGCTGACAATTCCCGGCACGCGTGAGACTCTGAACGAGGATTCTCTTTCGAGCCATATAATCCAGGACGAGTTCATGCAGGAGTCTGAGCGACCTGTAGAACTGCTTCCGTAGGCCAACTACGTCGCCCCGACGAAGCAGGGACGCCAACAGGGGCAGCGTGGGAAGTTTGGCGGAGGCGGTGGTTGGAAGTCGTCGAACACGAAATCGACGGAGGGCGCCGATCGCGGGGAAGTCAGCGAAAGGTGGAGATCGCAGCAGCAGTGGCTCACGTCGAGAAGGCCGCCGTTGCTACATCTACGATGCTCGCGACCACCTCTCGTACGATTGCCCCGACCAAGACGAGTCTGACGACGACCGGGACGCCAACCGCAGAAAGACTGATGGTGGACGTCGTCGTCGAGACAACCAGCCGCGCAAGGAGAAGC